AATTCCACAATTACTTCTCTTAAACTTAAAAATCAGGGGATCTGCCTGGCTGGAGTGGCTCAGTGATTTAATATCGACTTTGAGCCAGGAGGTCACCGTTCGATCACCCATCAGGGCTCATGTCCGGGTTGTGAGCTGATTCCCAGAGTGGGGCGTGCAGGAGGCAGCTGATCCATGATTCTCTCTGTCCATTAATGACTCTCTCTCTCCCTTCCTCCCTCCCTCCCTCCCTCCCTCCCCCCCTCTCTCTCCATTCCTCTCTGACATTGATAAAAAATAAATGAAAATGAAAGGCGACCTAATAAGTCCAAATCTTGGCCTCACTGAGAAGGTAACACAGAGGCTCAAGGCAGTCTTTGATTTCCAAAGTCTCCAATTCTAATATCAAAACCACATTTTTGTTAATAAAAACTTTAATTTTTTTGCTAATCAGTGTTAAATATGTGTATGTATGAATATACGTTTCTCTCACTAATATTCTAATATGTGAATTAGATCACTGGGTAAGAACACTACCAGTCAACACCTAGTACATGAGGTATTGATGTCTGTGCAACAAACGCCCCCAAACATACAGCCTCAGCCAACAGCCCCGTTTCAGCCTTGGCGGGTCAGGGTGGGGAGCCACTTAGCAACCTGGTTCTGGGTCAATGGTTCAGTGTTCATTCAAGGCCAAGGCCAAATGAATGTGGACAGTCAGGTGCCTTAATGAGGAGGCCTGACCACTGTGACACAGGCCTCAGTGTGCATGACAGTGACAGGGAGAGTGATGGTTTATGTAGATGATATTGACCTACAGTGTTGTGTTACTTTCAGGTGTTCACTATAATGATTCCGTATTTGTATATATTGTGAAATGATCATGGAACATGTATTACATGATCTGAAGATGATAACTTCTCTTGTCCTAGAAAGCCTAATGCAATGAGTATAATTATGAGCATATGAGAATATAATTCATCAATGAAACAAGGTGTCTCTCTTTACATTTATATTAAGGTAAAAACATTACTTATACTGTGTTTTGTTTGTTTTACTTGCTAGTTAAGCCCTGTGACTTTCCAGAAATAAAACATGGACGCCTACATGGGGAAGAAAAATATAGACCATCCTTCCCAGTATCAGTAGGACAATGGTTTTACTATTCCTGTGAGGACATCTATGTGACTCCTTCACATAGCAAGTGGGAATACATGACTTGCACACGAGATGGCTGGACCCCGGAAGTGCCCTGCCGCAGTGAGTGAACCTCTCTGTCCTGTGCCCGTAGCCATAGTCCGGAGTGGAGAGAGCCAACGTGAGCTCCCTAAGCCTGTGGGGGAAGTAGGTGGAGGATGAGTCTCTGAGCAGAAAGACCAACACTGGATGTCTCTGTCATCAAAGGTCTTTATTAACAGCACGAGACATAGACATAGATTCTACAAGCCTGTCCTTAGCACTTATACATATTTTAGTTGTGGAAACTACAGATAAATACTATTTCATGTTGATTTAAAAACATTGGTAGCAGCTATAGTCTTTCTTAAGTCATGTGCTATTTTTGAATGCTTATGGATTCTCATTTAAATGTTGTAAGGATAGTTTTTAATTTGTTATTTTTATCAAATGTTTGTGTTTTTTCTTTTATCATCGTTTTATAATTCTCAGGAAAATGCATTTTCAATGATTTGGAAAATGGGCATCGTCCAAAATCTGAACAAAGCTATTTGCAGGGCACATCTGTACATGTTAATTGCTATCCTGGCTACACGCTTCAAAACAAGCAGACCTCAATGACCTGTACAGAGAATGGCTGGCGCCCTCCTCCCAGATGCATCCGTGTCAGTAAGTAAACTAGTCTAAGATCCAGTCTGTTTGTAATTGTCTAAGATTCACCTGTAATAACTGTGGTAAAAGGTTTCTATCAGCTCCTTGTTTTGCCAGTGGCCCTACTTGGTTTTATTTTTTTCAAGTGTGTATGAGTGGAAACGCCATTTCTTTTCTTTTCTTTTTCTTTTTTCCTCGCTGTTTTATTCTTTATTGGAAAACATTTTTTAAAGTTCATTATAATTAAATGTTTAGACATTTCTATATTATTTGCTCACCCCCAGGAGACCACTAAGTGAAAACCACACTTAGACTCTTTCAAAAGCTAAATGTGAATATTGAACTCGGTTGCCCATATTTCAGTGTCCAGATTAAAATTCATAGAACTGAAATGAAAATGCAGTAGGCAAGAATTCATGTCTGCTAGGGTGTTAGGACACACATTTTCTGAAGGACAGGAAGGGAAGTTCTGGTCACCTTACCTGAACTTATCCACACATATCCACACTATCTATTATTCTATTACTAATGACTCATATTTCCTCTTGAAGTAACGGCTGGTTTTTGGCATATATGTGGCACATGCTTTCGGGTAGGAAAGGGTATAAAAGAGGCCACATCTTGCTGGTTTCGGTTCCAGAGAATATTTTGAACATTTCTCTACCTCCTCCTCCTCTTTCTCCTTCTCCTCCTCCTCCTCTTCCTCTTCTTCCTCCTCCTCCTTCCTCTGTTAATAATGCAGGACAGGTTTCCTCTGGGCTTTGTAAGGCTTTGCTATCTTGGCAATAGTTTCCACTAATGCTTATTTTTCAAATGATAAGGCTGGTGTGGGAGCCTTTCCACAGAAGAGTTTGTTCAGGGTCTGGATGGAGGAGGCCTCTTCTAGTCTCTCTACTAAGTGATTGGTGTTTAAGACCTGTTCCCATGTGACTGATTAATCTGAATGTTTCCAGTGCTGGGCGTGCACTGAAAAAAAAAGACCTGGGTGTGCACTGGGATCTTGGAATTTGTTGTTTCCTGGCAGCTCTTTCCTCAGTAGTTGGGTTCCGCCCATTCTCAGGGGGTTCCGCCCTCCACTCCAGGGGGATGTAGTCACCAAAGAATCTAGAATCGCTGTGCAGGTTTGTAGATCTCTCCCCGCCCCATTCCAGGGCTCTTTCCTTTCTGGTTAAGGACATTCACTGATCCACACAGTGATGGTAAAGGTTAGTATTGCCGGAATGAGATTTTTCTCAGTTGGATTCTACATGATACGGCATTAGAAACACAATGGTCACCTTTATTTTGCTTTAGAACTTTGTGACATGCCCATATTTGAGAATGCCACAGCTTTAATCACTGGAAGACCATTTCGACTCAATGACACGTTGGACTACCAGTGCCTGGATGGCTACGAAAACAGAGATGGAAGCACCAACGGCTCCATGGTGTGTGGTGCGGGCGGCTGGACCCACTTGCCAACCTGCTTTAGTAAGTATTTTCATTCCAGCTTTTCCTTTTCCAAGAGCTGAAAAGTCTACATGTATGTTGTCCTCTCAAGGTCCCCTAGATTCTTCTGGATCCTGAGACCATGAGGGTGATGTTGATGAGCCGGTGTGCAGTCTACTAGTCATGCAGTCACAGTCTAGAACTGTGCTCACCAATAGCTCTCCTGCTCAATGTCTCACATTCGGAGACTCGTGTGTAGGGCTGTGAGCTTGGAGAATCCCTACGTGAACAATGATAAAGGTCCTTTAAACAGGAACATTTGGAGAGGCTGATTCTGATACATTAGCTGATCCCACTGTGGACCCTACATGACTCATCCTCTCCTGTGTATGCGTCCCCTTCTGTGGGTGATTACAGCAAACCCAGTAAGTCCAGGACCGGAAATCAAAGCTAATATACCCAAGTCAGAATAGTCTAGAACAGTGGTCGGCAAACTCATTAGTCAACAGAGCCAAATACCAATAGTACAATGATTGAAATTTCTTTTGAGAGCCAAATTTTTTAAACTTAAACTATATAGGTAGGTACATCGTTATTCACTTAACTAGGGTATGCCTGCGCCGAGTCTTCCATCGCCCAACCAACCGACACCCCCCACTTCTTCTAACACCACTTCTTCAAAATAGACTCACCCAGGCTGAAAACCGACTTCTCCACATGGGCCATGAAGTTTCAATTGCTCTGTATGTACGTGTGTGCCCGCACGTGGTATTTTGTGGAAGAGCCACACTCATGGGGCCAAAGAGCTGCATGTGGCTGGCGAGCCGGTTTGCCGACCACTGGTCTAGGAATAGCTCCAAACTAGGTTCCCTGGAAAAGAAAGTATTGAATTTCCAAGGTAAGTTCTAATCTCAAGTTTAGATGATTGTACAGTTGGACATGTCTCCCAGCACAAGCAAGACTTATTCCTCCCACGAAGAATAGAAAGCAGTGTCCATTTTCTGGGAACATAAAAGCAGTTCTGTGACACAGGTAAGACTTTACTTGAGTCTTGGAATTGAAATTTGCAGAGAGCCCTTAAGATTATCAAAGGCAACATCAAACATCATGTAAGAAATTACATAGAAATATGGTATGTTAAAGCAAGGAGGTAAATTTTTGCTTGGATTAGTAAAGTTAAGAAGGAAAGATCAGAAAAAGTGTTTTGACAGGTATGTAGACCCCACATAATATATCCTTTTGGATGTAAACAGCATCTGCATGTACTGAGGAACATTTGAAAAACTTTTGGATATCAGGCGTCATATGTGTAATTCTATCATGTTTCATCATGGAATAGTTAATGGGATGTGTTGGAACAGAACATTTAGCTATGTCTAAGGCCTTATCAATGTCAGTGGTGGCTAAACTAGAATATAAAATACTTGGGTCAAGAGAAGAGAAATAGGAGTCCATGCTATTTTCAAAATTTCATATATGATTAGATAGAGATGTCTTCCAAATATACGATGGAGTATTACTCAGCCAGAAGAAAAGATGAAATACTGCCATTTGTGATATCACGGATGGGCCTTGAGAATATCATGCACAGTGAAATAAGTCCGGCAGACAAATTTGAACTATTGATTTTACTTATATGTGGGATATAAAATTAAAACAAACAGATAAAAAAAAACAGACAAAATCTCATAGGCACAGACAACAATATGGTGATTATCAGAGAGAAGCGGAGGCAGTAGTAGAACATAAAGAGGGTCAAACATATGGTGATGGAGGATGATTTGACTTCTGGTGGTGGTCACACAAAGCAATATACAGATGCTATTTCATAGAATTGAACATTTGAAGCCCATATATAATATTATTAATCAACTAGAGGCCAGTGCACAAATTTGTGCACCAGTGGGGTCCCTAGGTCTGGCCTGTGGGATCAAGCTGAAACCAGCTCTCCGACTTCCCCCGAGGGGTCCAGGATTGTGAGAGGGTGCAGGCCAGGCTGAGGGACCCCACCAATGCATGATTGGGCCTGGGGAGGGATGCGGAATTTGGTCAGCTGGGGAGGGATGAGGGAGGGTTCCAGGATGTGTCTGGCCCATCTCGTTCAGTCCCAATCAGCCAGACCCCAGCAGCACGCTCACCTACTGGTTGGAGCATCTTTCCCCTGATGGTCAGTGCATGTCATAGCGACTGCTTGACTGTTCAACTGTCTGTTCCCTGTTCCCTGGTGCACAGTGCACATCATAGCGAGCTGGTTGAGTGGCCTTAGCATATCATTGGCATATTATGTTTTGATTGGTTGAATGGCCGACCTGAAGACCAGACACTTAGATATTAGGCTTCTATTATATAATGATGTCATACCATTAAAAAAATTAAATTAGTTATGCTTATATGCAAGCACAGACACTAGGGGGGTGAGGGCATGTGCCGGGGGGTGGGGGAGGTCAGTGGGGCAAAAAGGAGACCTTGGACAGGTGTGCCTGACCTTCCGTCCCCTCAGCTTCCTGGTGTGTGAGGAGGAGCAGTGCCTGCTGAGGAGCTGTGAGGGCCCACCGATTGGGGCGGAGAACAGGACTCGGCCCACATTGATGATGTACATGAGCTCTTTCCATTACTTCATCCTCTAAGCTAGTCATTGGGTTGAAGGTTTATTTGTTTATAAAAGGAAAGGTTACTAATTGCTTTTATTCATTTCTCCTACTTTCAGATCCATGTGTAATATCAGAAGAAATTGTGGAAGTTATTTGTCTAATACTTAGTTTTATGTTCTTTTTTTTAACCATCAGATGCATGTGTAGTATCAGAAGAAATATTGAGAAAACATAACATACAGCTGAGATGGGTAGATGCGAGAAAATCTTATTTTACAATGGAAGATTATATTGATTTGTGTGTCAACCTAGCGGTAGTGAAGTGCTACCACCATCTGCATTCCAAGTAAAATGTCAAGAAGGAGAACTGGAGTATTCCACTTATGAACAAGATGATAGTTATATGCCAGGCATACCATCAGATGGTGATGATGATGATGATGATGATGATGACGATGATGACGACGACGATGACGATGAATAAAAAATTCATTCAATTCACTCAGAATTTCTTATTTTGAATCCAGTTCTTCTCAATTTACTTTTCTGATTTGGTTTAACTCATTTTTATTCATTAGTCAGAATTTGTGTTAAATACTATGCGGAAGATGTCATTGTAACCTAAGACCAATCAACAGATCACTTCTATATGCATCTCAAATATGACAAACCAAAATGGTATGTGGGGGCATTTTGAGACTCTTATTTCACAGGAAAGGGGGAAAAATGCATGTCAACATCTTCACCTTAAAATTACTTCACAAACATGTCAAAACTAAACTATGTCATATCCATGTTGGCAATAGATGGTAGAGGTTATTAGTTTTTCTTATCTATCCGTAGCTCACTATACCCCCCAAGTGATGAAATAAAACATTGTCTACATATTCATCTGGCAAACAAGTCATAAAGAGGTATTAGATTCTAATCAGGGGCATAGCTATTGTAACATGGACATGAAAGCTGATAAAAATGAAATATCAAGTATAAACACAGCAACACATTCACCCGTATGCTGTGAAAAGTGAGCCAACGTTCACAGAACAAAGACTAGCAGGAAGCACAATGAAACACTTACCATAACTACAGTTCAATCTATAATAATAAAAGCTTAATATGCTAATTAGAACATACGTCCTTCTGGATGACTCTCCAGATGAAGCAGGGGCTGCAAGGGAAACCTGGGTCCCGGGTGCCAGAGGGAAGCTGGTGCTGGGGGCCAGAGGAAGGAAGGCCTACTTTTGCATGAATTTCATGCTTTGGGCCTCTAGTCTATATATACATATATATAAAGAAGTAATATGAAAATGAGGTTGGGACTCCATAATGGTCATGAGCAGCTCAGGAGGAGGGGCTGGGTGTGGCCCTATACCCGAGAGAACACACACAGGTGCAGCCCAGAGCCTGAGAGATCAACACAGAGGGTGGCCTGCTCTGAGCCTCAACGGTGCGGCTGGGGGCAGGCCCCCAGCGGACAGACGGACACACACACACACTCACACACACATGGGGCGCCAGCTCATAACTAGGTTTTCTCTTTATTCAATTCTACTTCTTCTTTCTTATTGGCTTGTAATTGTAACTTAATATCAGTAATTACTATTGATGGATGTACTTATGCCATTTGCCAGTTGCTTCTAATTTGGCCCATGTACTCTTTAGAATCCCCTGTATTTTACATTCGTCTATCCTTTTAGCATTTCATTTTATACAATTTGTTGGTGATTAGATCTCTCTTTTTAGTAGCTGGTCTAGGATTTATAATATCCTTTTTTGGCAATCAATTTGTTTTTGATTATTGCAGTTTTCCCTGACCATATGCCCACATCATCATGAAAGAGTTCTTTATACTCATCAGAGCATGTATTGTTTTACTTTTCATATGTGTTGAATTTAAATTAACATATTCTTGTGGATCAAAGGTGATATATGTTAAAGATAGAGGAATAGGAGCATACCAAAATTGAACCCCAATGCCCACGCCTATTATATCTAAATGGAACTGTAGTTATGGTAGGTGTTTCACTGTGTTTCCTGCCAGTCTCTGTCCTGTGAACGTTGGCTCACTTTTCACAGCACACTGGGTGAATGCGTTCTACGTGTTTATACTCGGTATTTTATTTTTTTATCAGCTTTCATGTCCGTGTTACAATACCTATGCCCCTGATTAGAATCTAATAACTCTTTATGACCAGTTTGAGTGATTGTATGTGCTAGATGGAGAGTAGATGTTGCGTTTCATCATTTAGGGGTTATAGTGAGCCATGGATAGATAAGCAAAACTAAGTAATAACCTCTACCATCTACTGCCAACATGAGTGTGACACAGTTTGGTTTTGACATGTTTGTGGAATAATTTTAAGGTGAAGATGGAGACAAGCATTTTTTATTTTTTTCCTCTGAAATTAGAGTCTCAAAACCACCCATAAATAAATTGAGAAGAATGAGATTAATATTAAAACATTCTGAATGAGGCGCATATTTTAATGGGGAAATGGCCACATAGCTCTCATGTTATGCACAAGTGGGATACTCCATTTTTCCTTCATGACATTGTACTCGGAATGCAGATGCTGGTGACACTCTACGATAGGGAGATCGACACATAAACTCAACATAATCATTCGTTCCAGAATACATTTTTTTTGCATATGACCATTTCAACTGTATGTTATGTTCTTTCATGATTTCTTCTGATATTACACATGCATCTGAAGGTTTAAAAAAGGGACATAAAATGTTAAGTAGTACACAAATATTTTCCACAGAATTTTACACTTTCATGTAGAATATTCTACACAAATCCAATTTATTCTCAAACCCTTTTCCAAAACAATTCATTGAAAATCTATCATGTTGGTATAACTCATTTTATTTTTTAAAAATATATATTATTGATTTTTTACAGAGAGGAAGGGAGAGAGATAGAGAGTTAGAAACATCGATGAGAGAGAACATCGATCAGCTGCCTCCTGCACATCTCCCACTGGGGATGTGCCTGCAACCCAAGTACATGCCCTTGACCGGAATCGAACCTGGGACCTTTCAGTCCGCACA